CGAATAAACCTCTTTTATTTTATTTTGTACTCATAAAAATAAACATCTGTTGTTTACATATCATAAATATTACCTCAGTTAACGAGATACAGGTTGCTGCTGTTGATAACGGTAAGGTAATCCCGCGGTGAAGAAACTAGGAAAGTTTTTCCCGGCGCACGTGCACGGTGGGGAGGGGGAGGGTTTGGGGACACTCACAGTTGGGTCGGTTTTCTCTGTTTTATATATACATATATAATATATATTTATACATATATATATATATATATATATATATATATATATATATGTGTGTGTGTGTGTGTGTGTGTGTGCGTATGTATATATAAATATTTGTGTGAGTGTGTGTGTGTGTGTGTGTGTGTATGTGTATATATATATATTTGTGTGTGTGTGTGTACTATAATGGGTGAGTCTAACGTAGATACGATAGTGGTGCCCGACTGGTGCCTTGTAGTTCAGCATGGTCAAAGGAAATAGGCATTTACTCCATTCAAAATAATTTATGCCTTGTAGTTGAGTCCGTGTACAGCCATAGGCTATGGAAGTTCACCCAATACAAAACAATTCACAGCCTTGTGGCATCTATGAGATGAAAAAAAGCTTCTTCAAGAATCACAAACTGATGGGATCTACCCATCATGACGGCGACATGTAACAGTGTGAGCAGGTTGTGATTAATTAAGTGGATTCTAAATCAGACTTAAATCCTAGTCCGAAATTAATGGACATAATTGCGGTCACCCTGGCTCAAAGTTTGCCGAACGTATGATTTACTTCAGTTACCTTAACCTACTCTCATACGTGAGCCATTACGCATAATTGCAACCTTACAATGAGGATACCTCTTGGCGTTATATTTAATTATACAAGTCGCGTTACAAGTTCCGTTCTAGCGCCGATAGAACATGTCACCAATGAACATGTAACGGTTGCTATGCATTATCCCTACATTGTGATAATTATTGAAAACAATAAAAAGGGAATTGGCAAGCTGTTTTCTCCACCATTATCATGTCAATCACTCCTAGTGAAAGTCAGGTCAGACCGCCCCAGCTATTCGAAGAATGACCATCAGGTGAGGTCAGGTCATGACAGCTGTCCCCAAGTGGGCTCTGATTAATGACTTTCAGGTGAGGTCAGGTCAAGACAGAAAATGGAGAGAGAAGAATTTAATGAGTGAATATTCGTGAAATTCGATACAATTGAAACAATATAATTTAATCACGAAAAAAATAAATAGACACTTAATAAATGAACGATTTCATAATGTTTGGCTTCATACTTTATCACACAGTAATGAGGTGTGAGGTCAAGAAAATGAGATGAGAATAAGAGCAAGCCATTGCTGTAATTAGCACTTTAACCCAAAAAAACTAACGTGAGCCGGCTGTGCACGGCCTAACACATTTAGGGAAAAATAAAAAATAAATGAAAAGAGGAGGGACCCAAATGTGTACTCACGGTTTGAAGATGTCATCTTGCGTTTGTTTGAAAGGCGAGCGATTTTCCTTCGGAGAAGCTTGGTTCGGTTGCGCGCCAAAAGGGAGCAACAACCACCGCCTGCCACCAGAATGTAATGGGTTAGAGATTGATTGAACCTCTAAACATTGGTGACAGGGAGTAGTAAAAGCTTGGATGGCTTAAAACTCTTTATTGATAAGAGTTCAGCACACGGTTTGATAACATAAAAAGGACGAGTCTTGGGTTATGGGCTGGTCACCTGAGATCACCGGCGAGCCCAGCCCAGCGGGCAGGTGTGACCTCGACCGACCCGCGGTACACTCTGGTCTGACAGGGGTCACCGACGAGCCCACCTCAACGGCAGACCGGCCCAGCGGGCTGTTGTGACCTTGACCGCGCCGGGTCACACTCTTACTACCTGATCGGTCAAGCGTGGTCCCTTATATCCGATGAGGGCTTGGAGGGGGGGCAAGGAGGACCGCCCATCCATTGGGGCACGCCGCTAGGGTTTGCCTAGCGTGGCGCCACGTGCTACTGCGAGCATCCACGTGGGCATATAATACCGATATAATACACAGTATGCTGTGTTGTGTATATATATATGTGTGTGTGTGTGTGTATTTATGTATCGAAAGCCACCATAAGTAAAAATCGACTATGGCATATATGTATACATATACATATATGTATGTATGTATATATATACACATCCACCCTTCGCTTCCACCTACGAGGATTTCTCAATGCGAGCCGCCAGGCAGGGGCCCATCCCATCTCTAGCTCCTCATAATAGGTTTGATCGATCTGCCCAAGCCACGACTTCCTCGGTCGTCCCACAGGCCTCTTCCACCCAGGGTTGTCTCGAACAGAATCAACCTGGTGGGCAGGGTCATATTGCGGGAACAAGCCAGGTGGCCACATAGCCTGAATTGGCGATCGCAGATTGTGCAAGTAACAGGTCCTGTACCGGTCTCACAGTGCAACCTTTGGTTGGACACATGGTCCCGCCAACTGTATCCCATGATGTGGCACAAGA